GACTCCTGAGATGTGGGCAGCAGTAATTTGGACAGATGAGGCGTCTATTCGAACTGGAGGAGGCCAAATCTTTGTTACTCGATGCGCAGAGGAGAAATATGATGTTGACTGCTGTGTCCCTAAATTCAGGGGGTATTCAAGCTGGATGATCCATGGCAGCATCTCCCATGGGAATAAGGGGCCTCTTGTTATTTTTGAAAAGGATTGGTCGATTGAGTTAGGGTATAAAAGGAAGACAATAAATGGCGATGTCTACCGGACATATATATGCCCCAATATCAAGAAATTCGCATGGGAATTATGGCAAACACTGCATTACCAGCCTATTCTTGTAGAGGATAATGCCTCTATTCACTCAGCCAAAGCAACCCGCATGGCCTGGGAGCAAAATGGCATGCTTGTAATGGAATGGCCGGCGAATTCCCCTGATTTTAATCCAATTGAGAATGTCTGGAGGCTATTGAAGGGGAGAATACAACGCCGGTTCCCTACAACAAAGGAGGAAGTGAGGCAGTATGCTGAGGAGGAATGGGAGAAGCTCGAGCCCGAAGAATTCGAGAAGTATACAGGCAACATGAGGGAGCGCTGCCTTGCTGTAATTGCTGCAGATGGAGGTCCAACAAAGTATTAGTTACTGAATAAGCACAGGTTATTACGTGGCAAATGGAGGTGGCAATAAGCGCTAGCAGGGAGCGCTGCTGGCCCGCTCATGTTACCCCCTTGTAGATCGCCCATGTAGTGCCAGCCAATGGTGTGCCTCATAGCAGACGCAAGTGGATTGCCTGGATTGCGTTGGACGTGGAGCCGCTTATTCCTAGTCTCCATTAGTGATCACGTTACTGTAATCCAAATTACGAAACTCACAGCGTAAGAGCGCCACTAATGTCCATAGTATATTTAATGGCGGCATGGTCCAGGCAGAATATGTCTCCCTTTAAAGCATGCTCTTCAAGGATTTCGACAAATACCTCGGCCTCTACTATTACGTGCTCCGCCTGATCTAGGATGTAGGCCGAGTTGAAGCCGGTTTGGAAGATGTGGCGCCCATGCTTCCAGTCATCGCCATTGGCAGTAAAGACACTGTTGCCGCCCGCAATGGGATGCAGAAAGCTGACCAGGTCGTCGGGCTTCTCGAGGTCGTTCCGCTGGGCGGTCTGGATGGCATAGCTCGGGGTGGACGTGAGCAGCATTGGGTTGATGAAGGGCCAGAGATCCATGTAGTACAGGCCGTCGGATGCCGCAAACTCTTCTGACAAAGCATGGAAGCGGTCCGGATTTACGAGGTCCGGAGGCATCTTGAGCGTCTTGAAGGACTTGTCCATAACGAGGAGGTGGCCGAAGATAGGATTCCATTTAGGCATGGGCTGTGCGAGACGGCTAGTGGAGTGGTGCAGGAGAGTATAGAAGGCCGCCGCTACTCACCAGGCCCCTCTTGACTTTACTGTGATAGAAAGATGATCGTGCTCGGTACAAAGCAGCACAGAAGTAGAGAAAGCCAGTCCCACAAAGCACTGCCAGCGCCTGGAGCAGGGAGAGCTGGAGCCACAAAGCCATAGTGGCGAGGGCAAACTGCTCAATTTGAGCAGCAGAGGCGGGAGGGCGATGGCAAGTGAGAGAGAGCTCGCAGCGTCGAGCAGTTGCAGGTGCCCGAGATGGGCTAGTACGGTTGGGGATATAGAGTATAGAGCTTTATGATTGCGCCAAGGCGCTACGCTTCGCGGGGTCTGGCCCTTAGATGGCCCCTCGGGGCTGCGCCCCGACCCTGCAATATACAATCGTGGTACAGAGCGGCGCGGGCCGCGGACGTGCAATGGGAATGTCTCATCTGATTGATTCACCCCTGGCCGTCCTCCATCGCGCACTCAAGCAAGCGCCCGTTGTCCTCCGCCTCTGTTCCTTGCTGGCAGACCCCGGAGGCGATGGGCACTGAGCCGCATTTCGTGAAGAGGCGAGCGTATGGCGGCTGCGCTGCCCATCGTATTCGCTTGAGCGATCGGGGTTGCTGCAAGGGTCCTTGGCGTCAGATGCACCAAACTAGTCACCTGGTGCCCGCGCAAGGCTGGATTTTTTCACCATCCTCGAGAAAGCACACTGCATGCACCAGAGTTTCAAAGCTATATATCTATTGAAAACATCCATTCTTCCTATCGGCACCCTCTTGCAAGCGTGTTGCGCCGGCTCGACATGCGAGTGTTCTAATCCGTTACTCTCCTCTTGATCCTGAACGGGATTGCCTCTTTTGGGCGCAGGCTTCCCAGACCAAACTTGGCTGAGCTCAACTTCAAGTGCCCGCCCAGGATCTGGATATCAAAGCGGTCGGCAATAACTGCACTTGAGAGTAAGATCAAGTTCTTCGTGAGGAAACGGCCTGGGCATATGGCATGCCCCCCTGCATGGAATTAGCCGAGCACTTGAAGCTGAATCTGGGACACATACCTCCATATGGGATCCATGACCCTTCTAGCCCGTCCAAGGAGAAATATGGCTCAGTCTTCTCTGCCGTTGGCTCGCCTCTGGCCTGTCGCTCTACCCCAGGCTTCACCGGCCCGCTGGACGGATCTCGCGGGTCCGTTATGAACCTGTCGGCCCAGAAAGAGTCCACTGGATAAACACCGCTCTTTGTATTCCAAACCCTCGCATCCATGTGGGCGATTCCGGAGTTAACCAGAGCAATCTCGCCTTTCGGCAGCCACCCTCTTCGGAGGAGAAATAAGCCGCCGATTTGTGGCACGGGCCACCAACACCAAATCTCCCACCAAAATCACGCTTCACAATATCAAAACACGGCCAATTTGATTGATTTGAAGTGCTAAAATTGGGTCATCTGTCCATCTGCTCGGTTAGAACAATGTAGCCTTGCTGTGTATCCTTCATACATCTTGATAATTGATTTCTGATCAATTTCCCGTGTCCAAATGTTGGAGAACCGCTGCAAGGCAGTAGCCTGGCTACCTGATCGCCGGGCATGGAACTTCCTCTTGACAGGAGCGGCCAAAGATTCAACAATTGACATGTCTGGAGAATAGCCTGGCATCTGTAGCAATTTCAGACTGTTCCTTTCTGCCCATCTTCTTATAGCAATGGCCTTATGTCCTAAATCTCCATCTTAACAAAGCGTGAGGCCTTGTTGTTGCTATTCCAGATTAGCTAACAATATAGGAAGGATCTGCTTAGTGTAGCACTTAGATAACATCTTGCTATTCATATTGCCAGCGTTGTAGAGGATGAATTTGCGGTAGTTGTAGCCCACAATAACAAAGACAGAAAATGTTTTGAAGGGCTTATTATTACCACAAGCTCGGGTCTTTTCATCCTTTAAAGTAACCTTCTTTCTGTGAATGTTCTGTGGAGTATAGCGGTGCTTCCTGCCTATCCTTCTCTTAATTCTATGCGTGATCTCTGGCCCTAAACTAAAGTGGAATTCATCTAAGAATGCTATATTAAACCAATCCTTTAAATAAGGCCTAACTTTTAATTAAGCGGTGTAAGGGTTTCAATGCACGTTGGCAGGCCTGAGGCCGGGTGCGTCCCTTGAACTTAGTTAAGAATCCGCTGGCGAGCAAGCTACGTACAACGGGCAGGAGATATACTCCTGCCAAGCCCGCCGAATAGGGGCTAGAAACGAGGGCGGAGCCCGAGTCGTGCAACAGGGGTTTATCCCCTAACAAGCGGCATTCTAATCCAGGCGTGTATCTGCTTATTTTTTTATCTAAACAGCTTCTCCTCCTCTATAACAGCATTTATAAATCCTTTATCCTTTTTTATAGCTCTTTAAATTGACTGTGGTTCTAAAGGACGGAGTCCTTCTGGTTTGAAATGGTGGGTTTAAGGAATAGACCCACGGACCTTCTCTGCGATATCCTGCCATGGTTCTCCCTTATTTTCTTGGTCTAATTTTGGATTATTAAGGTAGTCTGCCATGCGCCGTGTGTTGTCTCTTGTAAGAGCTTATTTCCTTCCTCTAGGATTAGGTCCTTCACAATTATGTAGGACTTTGAATTCTCCTGAGCTGAGAATATCTGTTTGCTGGCGCAATAAAACACCAGACCTTAAGAACAGTGTTCTTATTGATTTCAATTCCTAGCTCTTGACCATACAGCTTGCCTGCCCAAACAAGGACTCGAGCTGCTTCGTGGATGTGTGGCTTCTTGGCCTTCTCATTCAGGGCCCCAGAATACACAAGGCCAGGGGGCGGCCGGATCGGGGTGCCACGCCATGGGCGGTCTCTGTGGATTTGGATTTGCTTCGGCATCTCAAAGAGGTAATCAAGGGCTTTTAAATGCACTCAAAATGGATTGATTTGGTTGAGAATTGGTGGAGAAATAGCGATGTTATGATCGCTTGTTTACATCAAGAAGTGGGAGATTGGTGTTGGGGGGCCGTGCCACAAATCGGCGGCGTAAATCTCCTCCGAAGAGCCACCACCTGCCAAGCGCCACATCGGCGTGTGGCGAGCTTGCCACGAAGTACGACTTGACGTACATTCGCAGCGTCTCCGCGTAAATGGATGATAGTAGTGGGTTCTGCAAGAGCCGCTCAACGTCCAAGGCCGACGGATTATTCGAATCTCGCTGTGAGTCGACGCTTTTGCGCACGCGCGCGACTAGGCCAGGCTCTTTGAACATATGCATTGTTGCAAACATTGCCGTCGGCGTGCTGTTCGAAACAGAGCTACTCGACCGTTAGCACCTATCAGTGGCACACTGCTAGCTCCTGGTGAGAACTCACGCCCAGATCAACCCCAGGTCTGCCGAAGCGAGCGAATCATCGTCTTGGTTCCTGGCCAGAAGCAACGTCTTCTGTCTTCCCCGCATTAATTCCGAGCCCCAGAATGGATCACCATCACCGTCCTTGCTGATGCTTGACTCGTCGAAATGCTGTCTGGCATACGCATACCAGCTCTTAATCTGGTTAATCAAATTTCCTCGATTTTTGACCGCTCCGAGCATGATAAACGAGGGCACCCCACGAGCAAACCACGGCACGTACTTGTCATAGCTCCAGAAATCGTCGACAAAGGTTGGATTCAGTTTCAATAAAGTCGGACCTGCCACCGCTTGCATGCTCGCAGTCCCCACGACATCCTGGAAGAATTTGAGTAAATCGGGCATATCCGTCCAGTTCTCGTCGGCTGGCAAGTTGTCTAGCCGTTCCAAGAAGCTTTCCATGAATTGCTGTGCCGTGGGTGCCAGTCCTGACCCCGTCAGTGCTTTGAGAAGTCCTGAGTGGGTGATATGGTCGACCCGGTCCTGGGACCGGACATTGCTTCCCGGGTAAGGCTTTCTGAACGGCCCTGAGTCGTCAGCCCTGTATGTTGCTAGTGCCGTTTCCTTCATGCCGAAAATGTAGCTCAAGGAATAGATATAGGCCTCCACTGGGCTTGACAGCAGCTGCTGCTTCCACATTGCGGCAACACTCTCGCGGTCTTGAAAAAAGTAAATCTCTTTTCCCAGAATGGTCATTCGAGCGGCGGCCATCTCTCCTGCGTACGAGCTACTTCATGTCAGCGCAAAGGCCAATTTTCCAAATACGACAACACGTCCAAAATAAATACATGCACTCACGTCGCACGTTTAAGATACGTCTGACCGTTAATGGCGAGTTCTATGACGCTCCCTAGATAGGGAAGGAATGAAGGATATACTGGAGGAATTTGCCTTTCATGAACTCTCAGGTGTTGCCAATGATACATAGTCCACGCAAAAGCGTAGTTGAAGCAGAGTGGGATCGAAAAGATTCCACCGAATACGAGTGTGTAATAAACGGTCTCGTTTCCTTTCAGCCACAAGAGCAACATGATCCCGAAGGGATAGAGAATACGACTGTGCCCGTTTCAGGTGAAGAATGACATGCTGGACGAATGGGGAACGAAAAAAATATCAAATGTGACGACAGATGAGCTACTAACTCTTGACGATTGTTCGATGTGAAAGAGACGAGACTCGGATTTCTTTCAACTCGCAACGCTTTTCAAGTATTTGTAGCATCTCCTTTCTATTGTAGGTCGGGAATACTTTAGTAGTTGATCCTGCTGACCACACGTACTTTCCCGACGGGAACGGGGCTCGGGCAATTGCAACTGGCCGGATTCTCTAACCACCATGAGGGCTCAGAAACTCCCCGTGGGCCTCAATCCTCATCTCCAGATAGAGCGTCGAACATCGCTGAAATTGTCATTACCAGTGAACTGGCTCGTTGTCACTGCGACGATAGACTCGGACATGGTCGAGGAGCTCCGACAACTAACATCAGCTGGTTTGGGGAGACGTAGTTTGCAAAGAAGACGGCATTGAGGAAGTTTCGATAGGGCCGCAGCTTTGATAGGCCAGAGGGAGTAGACACAAGCATTTGGAATTGTTCTGGAAGGATTGCGACGCCCGATTTCTCTTTCGGACATTCGGTTTGAGTACTACGTCACAACTCGGGTTGCAGCACTACAACCTAGGATCAACAATTCATATGCCAGTAACGTATCAGGATAGCATGCTGATACAGGAGGAAGTAACAGTTAGTGCAACAGCAGTGCGACAGCACGGTGTCAGTACTGCATCAAGTAATAGGATGTAACCAGCAACGTATCAAGAGAGCTGCCACGTTAAGCCCCCGGGGGTGGCCCCCCTTCCTTCCCCTAGTATATAAACAACGAGCTAGACACCTATAGAAATCAGAGTTCACATCAATTTCAACCTGAGTTCACATGTTTGGCACTCAGCCCTGTAGTTTGCTGCTGTGTGGGGCATTCCTCTGGCTTGTGCCTGCCAATACCGCAAGATGCAACTAGCGAGTTCAGCATTTGCCTCTTTCATGTCTTCGATTGATAAAAAAAACAGCTGTATCACCTGCGGGATTAATCTTTCCGTCCACTTCTTGTAATCTTAGGTCAGACGGTCTCCCCTTTCACACTAAAGCCTAAACAAACCCTGTCGCAGTGTCGTACTGGTAATTAGCAGCCTGTTGCTCAGGTCGAGGCGTATTCCATATAGACATCCGCACTTTCGGCAGTGCGACTCCAACCTTGCATCTCTATCGTCTGCGACATGGCACTGACGCACAAAGCTCATCAAACTTCTGTTATTTGGAAGAGCGAAATCCCATACGCTGTACCATGCCATGTGCAACTTCATGCAACCCGCCATGGTGTTTAGGGGATGCTGGTTGTTCTAGCAGCGTCACCCCACCATTGTGCAGCATTCCAGCTATGTAGTCCCCGACGTGGAGTGGCGCAACCCGAGGCTGTCGTGAATTATATCGACGCCCTGACTACTACGTCTCGATCCTGTGGCCCCGCACGGCACTTGTGATCTTCAGCACTGGGGCTATGTAAAAGCCGGGTCCCGAAGTTCTAAACGCCACGCGAAACTAAAAACTACGACCTACGACTGTATCGACAGTGCCTCACTCGCCGGACTACGATTCTTTGGCTTCGTTCTCTTTCTGTTCAGACTGCTCGCAGCCATGGCCATGGACCACTCGAATCTGATGGCGGAAATGGACAAACTGGCCAGCATCAAGATGATGACTTTCCAGGTAGGGCTGCCATTTATCCGATAGCTTGGCGATTTCAGTCACGTTATTAACCAATAACCAGGTCACTGTCGGCGTCTTTTTCGCGCTGTCGGTGATATTAGTCATCGCCAGAGCGGCAACCCGATTACGATCTCGCAGGGCAATGACGCTAGACGACTACCTGGTGTTCTGGGGGTGCCTTTGTCTTATAGCCGCCACTGCACTGACATACGCCAATTTCGATAATATGTATCTAACGCAGGCACTGTTCAAGGACCCCACAATCATCACTAGGGTGAAAAGCGATGAACTGCTCAGGGTGACCAAGATAGTCAACACGTTGCAGATGGCCGACCTGGAATTACTGTGGGCCGCGACTTTTGCGGTAAAGTTTTCCTTCTTGGCATTCTTCCGACAGCTGATCCAGTCGGTGGATAAAATCCATCGATACTACTGAGGCGTTGTGGCCTTTACCCTACTCTCGTGGATGTTTATCATCACCGAACCGTTCATTCTATGCCCGCATTTTGGAATGTCGTCAAGTAAGTCATGAATTCCTACAGTAGAACAGGGCCTAGGGGTGCTAACATGGCTCAGTCGAATGCTCGTTGAATTTCAACAGTGAACTGTATTTCCCTTTGACCGGCTTTGTAACCGGGCTAGACGGCCTCACAGATTTAATGAGCAAGTCACCATTGCCACCTACCAATCCCAAGTCACTAACATATCCCAGTCGCCAGCATCCCCGTCATCGTGCTGCGCCGCGCAAAGATGAAAACACGGCAGAAGTTCGCCGTCGGGTCCTTTCTCTGTCTCTCGCTCGTCATGGTCGCCATGGCCGTCGCCCGTGTTAGCAAGATGCATGGTGTTACCGCGATGGACATTCCGTACGAGTACTTCTGGCAATACCTTGAGGCAGCCGTCGCGTTGCTCATGGCGTCACTCACATCGTTCCGTACCTTCTTTGTGATTGCCAAGCAGCGAAAACGCTATCAAGAGCGCATGAAGCGGCCGTTGTACTCATTCCGGGAATTTCGATCTCGCTTCGGCGGGCGACGTCACGAAGAAGACGTCGAAGGAACGGAGCTTCCCGAAATCCCGCGAGCAACGATGACGGGCATGTGGACGTACATCCACAGCAACAATCGCATAGCGGTGGCGGGCACGGTGGACGACACGAGCTTGATGCTGTCGCAGCAAGAGCCGCTAGGCAGCAGCGGATGCAGCGCACCGAGCAGCTTTATCGCAGAACCGGGCAGCCTCATGCTACGAAGCACGAGCGCAAGGTCGTTGATGACTCGGGTTGCAGCAACCTAGGATCAGCAACTCATACGGTTCACCTGCGTGCACGCCATTCCCCTAGGTATCCCTTACTCTCCCTTTCTCTTCCTTACCGAGTTGTGGTGCTTCCTTGCTGCCAAGGGAACGACCAAGGGAGCGCCCTAAGGGATAGTTCATCTCGTTCCTCTATATAGTCCGCCTTTACGGCATCTACAATACAACAGAGTTCGCATCAATTTCAACCTGAGTTGATGTAACTATGTTGTACCTAGGGTGAGGAGATGTTGGGAACTTGGCAGAAGGTGCAGCGGCCTGTTCCGTACTGTCGCCTGCTCCGCATTATTCACCGTTTCGTGTCGATAGCGACTGTCAGGCACTCAGGGCGATAACACATGGGAAAAGGAAAATAATGTACCTCGCCAAGGGTGTTCTTTAATTTAGGGCGCTAGTACCTGTACACCCCCTTTTTAGTAGTTGTACACCCCCCTTTCTAGTAGTTGTACACCCCCTAAACCCCTGTCGTTTCACCGCCCTCTAATTGGCTCGGAGGCCCGGCTAGGGCCTCCGATTCGCTCGCTTAATTCGCTTACCAATTCTAAATGCTCACTCCAAATGCGGCGTGTACACAAGTGAGGATGGAGGTGAAACAATGCATTGAACGAGGTAAGTGATGTATTGGATGAGCATCTATCTAGGCTACGTACGCCGTATATATACTCCTG